CGTTTTCACCCGAAACGAGGGAGGAAGTCCCGTGGACTGCGTCAACATGAATATCCTATAAAATCCAACCAGCTGCAGTACAACGAGTTTCATCCGTCCTCACCTGGTGAGATCAACCAATGAATCTCTTCTTAATGCACTTTCATACGAAATGAATGTCCTCTAATAATATATAACTGATTTTAAGGATAGAAAAATGCAAAAATAAACAAAATTAAATTTCAATTGACCTAGATTTTACTGAAGTAATTTTTTTATGCAATTCTACATAATAACAGTTCGTTTTATACAAAAACCGATGCCCGATTTTAATCACGAAGATTCAAAAATATGTGAATCGAAAAAGATTAAAGCATGAGTGGTGGCTTAAACTTTTGCAATAAATCTTAAAATAAAATCAAAGCAAACCTCATTTTCAAAAAAGCTTTCTAAAAATTAATGTTTTGAAGCATTTATTTTGTCTGAAAAGGAAATTAAAGGGCTTACGAAATTTTGAATAATCGTAATAATTAGTAAGTAAAAAGTGTATGCAAACTAAATATAATATTAATATTAAATATAATAGGACAAAGTTATTTTTAAATTTTTTAAACTGTTTATTTGTATGAAATAAGATCTTTACAATGTCTTTCGTTTAACTAAGCTAATGACAGATTTTTCTAGGCTATCATATTTACTGGCAGGCACTTCGGATCTGGCTGCTTTGCCCCCGCGCACGTTTTTGCCACGCGCTTCCTTCTGTCGATGGAAGGCACTTTTACATTAAGCTATAAATTTGTTTCTAAGAGTACCTTATAAGCGAATGATGTCTATTAACCCAAGATCTGGTATGTTTAATTAAGAATACTATCTTTTAAGTTCTCCGGCCGGAATACCTTAATCACGCCAATTGTTTGCTGTCTGGCTCAGTGGACTATTCTAACCAAATTCCAGACTGCAGAAAAAATACAAATACCGCTCCAGTTTATCACTCTGAAGATGTTTCCTTCAGACGTAGGTCCCTACAAAGACGTCATTACAGTAAGCGTCTGATTTACTCCTAACCATCCAGGTCATCCATATTCAAGACAACGCCACGATACTTGTATTCCTAAAAATGATCTACAACCAATATCATTTGAGTCTGAACACCCTGCTTTGCGACTAGGATCTACATCTGTTCCGTTCCGGATGGATTACACTTTCAAAAATCTCGACGCACTTGGCGAAGGCAGTCGTTTTGTTAGAAAACATGCCTCACCTTCCTCTTTCGTTTCACGCTACTCTTCAGATTCAAGCAATTCCTCATTAAATTCTGTTCGCAGTGCCAATCCTTCTGCCTCCAAGTCCAATCAACACAAGACAACTAACGGAAGTCAAGGTCAGTCGGAGCAGATACGTCGATCCAGAGAATCTACAACATTTGCTTTAATTGATTCGGCCTTGTCCAAACCTCCACTAGGCCAAATCAGGGATATGCATCTTCAGACTAAGTCCAGCTCCAATGCTCTGAGTTCGACTGTTCCATCGAGAACCACTAAGAAGGCTAATCTTTCCGTTGTTCATACTGTTGTGAGGTTCAGGGTTGAGGAATATTTAATTGATCTTCGTGAGCACATGCATCGACTCCTTGACATCCTATTTAATAGTGCGTCTTCTACTTATGAGGCTTCGAACAAGGATCACCTCTCTGATCTGCTCGGATTATCTAGGCTTCCTTGTTCATCCAGTTGTGAATTATGTTATCGGATCGGGCATCGATTCGATGCCTCTCGATCACTCAGGCGACATGATAGTTGCAGGCAACATCTTGCAAACATTCCTCCCTCTGTACCTAACAAATATTCCGCCAGCCCCAATAGTGTCTCTTCTGCTTCCCTCTCTTCTCACGTCGTTAATCCTCAGTTTAGCGATTGTCATGGTGATCCAACAGACAGGTCTTCTCCTGAGATTCTTAGCGAGCGCGACGAATCTAATCTCAGCGATGAAGCCACAATTCCTTCTTCTGAAAATGTTCAGGATGTGACTGAATTCCCCTTCAAAGTTGATCACGAGGACAGGCGAGGCGCCGATTATGTCGATGGCAATTATTGTTCAAGGCCTAAAGTACCTCCTCAAACGCACTCTCCCAACGGCTTCAGCATCAGTATTCACACTCTGCTAAGTCAAAGGTCCCGTTTAGATAGTACATCTCAGC